AATATGATATCATATACAACAGTAAACATCACGTCTCTTCTGTTTATATCTTCAAAGCAAAGAAAACACGCTTTCATAACAGTACAGCTAGAAACCGCTCGCCAGAACCACAGGAACTTTGCTGCAAGACAGGCATATGTAACGATGACTTGGCGCAGATAAAGTCGTGTCTTATTTATACTCTGTTCTACTGACAACAGGCCAGCGAAAAATCTAACAATCTACAGCAAAACCATCAATTATTATGGGCGTTATAACATAGGTGTGCAGCTGAACGAAACATACACGTCGAACCCCCCCAGACGATTTAAATCCCTGACGAAACATACACGACGAACCACGGCAACGGGTTAAGAAGCACGAGCCATGGTTCAACGAAGGATGCTCAAAATTATTAGATCAAAGAAAACAAACCAAACTGAAGTGGTTACAGGATCCAAGTAAAATAAATTGAGATAATCTGAAAGATATAAGATAAAAGAATATCTGAAAGACAAAATTAACGGGCTTGAAAGGAATGCCAAGAATAAGAAAATTAAGAGACATGTATAGCTGAATAAATGACTTTAGGGGGGTTACTAACCTAGAAGTAACTTAGGGAAGGATGAGGATGATCTGCTTGTGGTAATGAACCTTCTGGTTACATAAAGGCTGGGAAGTTCTTGAATCACTGTACAACTGGCAGCTTCTCAAGAAAGGCTCATCTCCATATAGTTAGTTCCACCATTTGATGGATATTGTGGTGAGCTGTTAAAAATTTTATTACATTTGCTTATTAGGTTCTAGATTTTGGGCCAGCTTCTTAGCATTAAACTATTTTGTATGAGAGCGAGCTCCGATGATAGACAAAAAAAGAAAATAAAGTGTCCCTGTAACAGGCCGTGGAGGTCCATAGGGTTATGAGATGTTGAGGTTCCCACAATTTCTACACAGTCTGCTCATAGGTGGCAGTAAGGTTGTCAGCCCTACGCGCCAGCCGCCCTTTACCCCCAAGAATATTCCTGGTGCTCATTTCTGTTAGAGGATGGAAGGATTAGGTCAACTGAAAGAAATAAAATGACCTCATCGGGACTAGAACCCGTAACCTTCTGGCTTATAGCATAGTGCCCCCTGATGATATACAGAAATGTTCAAAATTTTTACTAGAAATTATGGCACTAAGTGTCACTGTCAAGCATTATGAGTACTGACAAGGTACATATCATCAGAGGAAGGTCATTTATGTAGATTATGAAAAACGAAGGCCCTCGAATTCACCCTTGGAGAACTTCAACTTTGGGTTGCATTAGTTGACTTCATTTTCTCTCTGTTAGACTGGATCTGAAACAATTTGCCACTGTTCCTTGTTCCTTCAATGTCATAAAAAATTAATTTAGCAAGGTTTCATGATTTACATAAATAAAACCTTTTGCTATATCACATAATATTACTCCATTTGAGTATACTGTCTACTGGTTTAGGCTGCATTTTCAGTGGATATTCCTTTTCCTGAAGCTGAATTCTTCTGGACTAGTATGTTAATGGGTTAATGACAGACTACTTGATATTTACTGAACCTTAGCAACCATGTGTACATCCTTCCAAACTTACCATTCACAACATTCATGTCCTCTCTCATCTGACAGTAAATAACCTCTGTAATTCACACAGCAGCATTAAACAAATTGTGTACCAGAGACAGGCAACTACATGGCATATCATGATGGGTGGACATGGATGTTGGGTCTATAATGGCAACATATAAACTCAAATCATATGATAGGGCGAGCATGAAAGCGATGGGGAGGATGGAGTTGTGGAGTTCTTGGTACTCGATGTCTCACTGGACTGAGGAAAGCCATGACAAACCTGTCACGATAATCAGTGTCCTGGTTGGGATTCACACTGAGCAGCTCCTGCATCTTTTATCAGTTCCTGCTTGAAAAGACAGCTCCACAATGTGAGTCTGGTGTTGGCATAGTACTTTCTAGATGGGAGCAGTGCTCACGCAAGAGAAAAATATGTCTGCCAGTTCAAAGACCCAGTATACTATACCAGACAAGCAGCCAACATGTTTACAAGATTACTGCTTTATCAGAGGAAAAGAGAGTTTAATAGGATAAGAGTATTCAGTATAGAATGTAACAGATGTAAGGAGACGTGCAGATTCTAAGGGGTTCTAACAATGATGTATAACACTCAGAATTACTGGGTTTTCAGATTTTATCCACTGTCCAGTATTCTACAAACTGGAAAACATAACATTTTGGAAACAGATCCAGTTTCCAAAACATTGTTTTTTCTAGTTTTTTGAATACCAAGGAATGGACGAAGTTCGAAAACCCAGTAATTCTAAGCAGACATGCTTGAAGAGCATGATGGCAAACACAGCATGAGTAACAAATGCTTGATCAGTTAGCACAATTGTACAGTTGCCAAGAATGACCAGCTGAAAGTGCCTACAGTTTAGCAAACAGCAGTAGCACAGGAATATACAATATATATACTATGTGGCATGACTGACTCATAGAATGTCATCTAAGTGATAAGACC